ATCAATTGAACGTTAGAATATTTCGGAGATATATCTCCGAAACAATTTGTATCATATTGTCGCGTCAAACTCCTCTTCTACACTTTTTCATTTCTATTCTCATACATCTTGATCTCTCTCATTCCCAAATTTTTCAAACTTCACCAAATTTGTTTTTTTTTTTTTTCCGTCAGAGGATTAAGTAATCATCAAGCTACATCTAGTGCATCATTTAACATCTCTCGAATCATATAATCTAGATAAGTTTTTCGAGTTTATGATAAATATTCGACTTTTGCTAAAAACAAGTTAGAATCTATTGTTAGGTGTCGAAACATTTAGAAATTAGATGAAACATAGTTTAGAGTAACTACATGTATTGTTTATTGGCTCAAATGGACGGACGATCAGGGTCTCAAATTTGTGGTTCGGAGGGGCAGAGGACACCATTGACACAACCTCTGAGTTGCAGAATGTTCCGGAGATACATCTCCGAAAATATTCAAGGTTTCATGTACTCTGGGTGATTTCAGAGATACATCTGCGGAATGTTTTTGTAGTTGTATATCTAAAATCACCTAGAGTACATGAAACGTTGAATTTTTCCGGAGATGTATCTCCGAAATTTTCTCAGTCTATTTTTTTTCTTTTTGTTTTATAATTTTTCTTATTTCATAAACTCGTATGATTTATTATATTATATCTTGCATGCATAATGGCTGACAGAGCCAATCCATTGAGGCATGGACGGGTTGCCCATCACGCATCTGTTAGACAAGAGCGAAGCCAGTTGGGTCCGAGAGAGGCATCGACTGCCGGTGTATAGTATACTCTTAAGACTCAGTACACTCTTGTGGTTTAGCCTTCACCTCATGACACTCTATCTACGTCTCAGATCACTCTAGATACATCTCAGGTCACTCCATCTACGTCTCAGCCTACTCCACCTTCTTCATCTTCTTCCCACAGACCACGGGATGCATCAGCTGACGCATCACTTCTTTCATCCTCCCGCAGGCGACGGGAGGCACTTGTGCCACCTCTTGTTGATTTAGTGCCACCTTCTATTGACCCGGTCACACCTGCAGACCGTGATGTATCGGTGCCACCTCCGAAGGATGATGTTGTTGCAGCGCAGGCTGATGGTTTTCAGAGGGGGTCCATCTGATATGTCCCTACTTCCTTTGTATCCAAACCACACTGTTAGACATATATGGGACGGAGAGGTAACATTAGTCACATTGTTACTATATATTTTTACATTAATTTAAATTGTTGATTGATTATTTCTAACATTGATTCTTGCTGACATTGATTATTTCTAACATAGATTCTTGCTGACATTGATTATTTCTGGAAATTCGCAGGTGCGTGATCCCTAGAAGTTTTCGAACAATGGGCGAAAGATTTTAGCATTGCATCATCCTGATGTGGAATGGTTTCAGTCGGTTCTCACCATTTTTGGATTGAGTGACTTATGCTTGATCGGTTACACTTTGGTCAACCACGGGATGATGGGAGCATTCATGGAGCGATGGCACTCTGATACCTCTTCCTTTCATCTCATGCACGGTGAGATATCCATTACACTGTCTCGTGTTTATTGCATATACCGATTAGAGGGACATTTCTCTGTCATGGTAGGATGACCAAAGACGAGGCGTTCAATATGCTGGTGGAGCATCTTGGGACTGATCCAGTGAAGGCGCCAAGGGAGGTGGGTAGAACTAGGGGTGCTCATGTTAGGTTTTTATTCTTGAAAGAGAGATTTGATAAGGCGTTCGTTGCTGCAGCGCAGGCTGATGGTGATGCCCAGGAGGTGAAGATCCACATGAGTCATGCTTTGAGGTGTTATTTTCTATTTTTAGTTGGCACTGTACTTTTTGTGGACACGAGTGCCACCTATACTGATGTTGCATACCTCCGGTACTTCTTGGATCTCACACGGATCCATGAGTACAATTGGGGGTGGCTTGCTTGACCTATCTATATTCGAAACTGAGAGATGAATGTCGCTGGACGACGAGGCAGACCACAGGCACCACAACCCTACTGGTGGTAATAATTTTTTATCCTTGATTGTTTTATTATTTTTTTTCATTTCATATTTGATTAAAGGAATCAGTAGCCTGCCACGTGTCATGAGCTCCTGTGTTCACCGGTGTTATAGAGGAAAGGGGGTGTACCTGCAAGATACTCCGATGCTTAAGTGAGTATGGGATTTTAAAAAGAGCAAGTACATAGAGAATAGGTGTAAAGAATAGAATATCTGACCCTCTAGTGAAAGAGGGTATTTATAATGTGTCTCCGGCACAGGGCCAACGGTTACATTGCATTGGGTCGGATTTCCAAGCCCAATACAAGTAACTGTCAGGGCTTATGTGACGTAGTGAAGACCAGCATGTGGTCTTCACGCTGGATTAACTGCCCCGTGATCTTCGGAAGGTGGGCTGACCAACTCTTTCAGAAGCGGGTAGTCGCCTGATGACGTGTCCCCACATAGGGGGAACGTGGAGCTTGTGAGGGAAGCGCGTGAGCTTCCCCGACAAGATAATGCGCTGCCCTACGGGGATGCCTTGATGATGAGCTTCCCCGACAGAGGAGGATTGGGCCTTGTTGGGCTTCATCAGCGTAGTATTAGGTTGGGTCTGCCCGGTTGATGGGTAGGTTTCGGCCCAGTCCAGAACAGTATTTATGATAATTCTTGTTCCCTAAATTCTTTTTTCTTTTTATTTCAGGTTTGGATCCTCCAGCACTTCCTGCGCATTGCTGGCTGGTCATGTTGGCATGTGTAAACTGAGGAGATGTTATGTGCTTATGTTTTTATCCCACTAAGAGAGAACCAGGCGCTCGACCCTTTCAGAGTCTATCTTGACCGCTTGGTTGGTGAGGACATCCACTTCAAATGCTACGTAGATCACCATCGGACGCATCTATTTGATGACATATTGCTATACTCTAGATGGTTGGTCTGCTCGTCGACGGTCACTGCTCCTCATCTGCCCGAGCGTGTCATGCGGCAGTTCGGGTACACCCAGACCATTCCTAGACATCCTGTTGTCTCTGCACCTCCGTCCTTGACTCGTATACATATAGAAGAGATGTTTGTTGATTATCATAGTCATCTGGTACCAGATGAGGCTCGGGCTATTATAGCATCGAATGATTAGAGCTACGTCGACAGATACATCTGATGGTTCTTCAGGGTTTCACATATGTACATGGTGTCTTCTGCTCCAGGAGATCTGCCGAGACCCGCTCATCAGGAGATTCTAAAGGAGCAACAGTCTCAGAAGGATTATACTGAGGATGTCTTGCCTCGTTGTCGTCGGATAGTGGAGATGGCACAGGCAGACATTGTCGAGGGTATCTTTCCTGAGGGATCTACTGTCAGACGAGTATTGGATGATATTATTACAGAGGTACATGAGACACTTTTATACCGCAGACATCGCGCGAGGACAGGGATATCGATGGCCGAGGAAGCAGATCAGGCACAGGAGGCAAATGGGAGGTTGTCAGACACACCCAATAGTTGTCAGTATTTATTTTGTTTTAGTACTGTAGTTTGTACGTTTTTCTTGACATTTTTATTACATTTTGGATTTACATGACATATGGCATCCTGTTACTATATTGTTATGTTACTTTAGTGTTTTTGTTGTTTTATAATTCATCTGCGAACAAATACACAATGTGTTTTTTTTATAAAAAAAATAATAAATTCTGAAACACTTCAGAGATGTATCTCAGAAAAATTTCAATAAATGCATCTCCAGACAAATTCAAATGGAAATGGGCTATGGGAGATATGTTGTTATCGTTTAAGGTTTAAATTGCTTCGGAGATATATCTCCGGAATATTATTAAGTCATAGAGCGCGTCTGGAGATATATCTCCGAAATCTAGAGGCATTTGTGAAAAATCACATAGTGGGAAAGAAACCTATGTGGTAGGATAAGAAATTCTCTATAATAACATGGTTAAAAAAATCAAGATTCAAAGCAAGCCAATCCAACACGAGCAATAAATGAGGGATGAGAAAGGGTACTAGATAGAGAGAGAAATGAAAACATAAAAGAGATGTAACATGACATGTTTGATCTAATTTCGGGAGAATTTAATGTCCAAATATATATGAATTGATTTAGATTAAATTTATATCATATTTATAAAGTTTAAACCGAACCAAATTGATGAATAACATATTGATTTTTTTTGTTACAATAACGCATTAGTTTGAGTTAGATTGATCGAATACATTAAAAATAAAAATGTAAAAATATTTAAAAGAAAATCTAATTACATCAACTAATTTTTTAAAATAATATAAAAGTTTTAGTGAATATCACATCGTGCGTTTTATTATAATCCTAAGGGTTGGTTTAGTGGTAGAAGCTTGAGTCTTGAGAGTGTGCTCATCTTAAGGTCTCATGTTTGAATTATGTTATGTGCAATCAATCCTTATGTTGGAGCAGTTCATACGGAGTTTTGTTCTGTCTTTAAATGAACCTCTCGCTAGTGGACTATGAGATTGATCCTCTTAGATTAATCAGTCTCAACTCAAGGCCGAATTCCAAGATTTAAAAAATAGTTGAATGTCTTATTTTAATTTCAATGATAATGATATATAATATACTAATTATTTATGATTGGTTCCATATACGAACTTGAAAGTAGAACTTTAAAAATCTATTATTCAAACTAATGAATATCAAATTTAATTGATTTGTCCGATTTTTATCCTAACTAAAAAAAATACCCAAACAAAACATCATGATATAAATAAACATATCTTTATATAATTTTAAAAAATAAATAAAAAACTCTTAAAACTTGTAAAATTAGGATATGGTACTCCATGGTGCGTGCCACATCTAAAATGGTGATTCTTGATTTCACACATTTGCATCGGTGGGTACCTCGTATATAAATGCAAACAATCTCTGAATGTAGTCGCAATTCGAAACAAGGTTAACTAAACCCCATTAGTAAGCTAAAGCTCCTGAACAAGCGTAACAATGGCAGCAACTGAGTAACATACTTTTTCAATTTCTTCTCTCATTTTCATTCACACGATCCTTTCCTCTTCTCTTACTTTCTTTTTCTAATCTTCCGAATTTAACAGTGTCAAAGAAATTCGTACTCCTCCGTTAACTTCCAACTCCGATCCACCTCCCATTTTTGACGGAGACACCAGGTTCTTCCTCTTCTCTGTTATTTCATTTTTCCTAACAATTATCATGTAAATAACAATTTTTTATATCGATATTTTGAACTCTTCTTTTAGGTTGTACATCAGTTATACTTGTCCCTACGCACAACGCGCATGGATCACTAGAAACTATAAGGTGGTTTTGTCTTCATCCTCTCTCTTTATTGTTTTATATTCTAATTCTAATCAACCTAATTTGTTTCTCAAGTTTTATTGGATTGTTTTAGGCTTATGAACACCTTAGATCTTAATTTCTATTAATAAACCATATAGTTTTTTAATTTTATTTTTATTTTTGATTAATAGTTCATTTTCTATTTCGGTATTGATAACCCATGCAGGGACTTCAAGACAAGATCAAATTGGTTGCTATTGATCTTCAGGACAGGCCTGCTTGTTATAAGGAGAAAGTTTATCCAGAAAACAAGGTCTTTACTCTTTAACTTTACTGATACAGGGTAATAAATTACTCAATACTCACCAAAATTGACAAATATAGTTTTCTTCTTCTGTTATAGGTGCCATCGTTGGAGCACAACGGAAGGGTCTTGGGAGAGAGTCTTGATTTGATCAATTACATCGATGTCAACTTTGAAGGACCATCTCTAGTTCCAACTGTGAGAATTAGCACTCTTCCAACCCCAAAATAAATCTATTATTTTAGTGGATGCAATTTTAAGATTTTGTTTTTCAGGATCCTGCCAAGAAAGAGTTCGGCGAGCAGTTGATTTCTCATGTTGGTGCATTCACCAAAGACATGTACTCTTCACTGAAAGGCGATCCTATAAAAGAAGCCGGTAAGATTTTCATGTTTATAATTATAAACGGTTACATAGGAATGTTATTTAAGTATGCACAAAACGAACTTTCATTTCAAAATTGGTAATTTGTATCAGGTCCTGCCCTTGATCACTTGGAGAATGCTCTTACTAAGTTTGATGATGGGCCATTCTTTCTAGGACAATTCAGTTGGGTAAGTTGAAGTCTAGCCTTGAATTTTTTTTCACTTTTAAGACGGTTGCGTTTTAAGCATATTACTTATCTGCACGCAAAAAATCATTGCAAATTTCGATTTGATGAATCGTGAAGCAAAGTATCAAAATAGTCATGAACTAAGTGTAAATAGTACATAAATCGGATACATAAGATCATCCACGACTAGATTTTTTACTCTCATATAAATTAATTCTTGTGATGATGATTAGGTGGATATTGCCTATATTCCATTTGTTGAAAGATTCCAGATAGTCTTTTCTGAGGTGTTCAAACATGATATAACAGAAGGAAGACCTAAACTTGCAGCATGGATTGAGGTACAGTGGCAGTAGTTTTCTCTAAAATTGAAGCTTTTTATAATTGTATTCTTATATATGAATTGATTTCAAATCATGGTCATCAATCCAAACTTGAGGAAAACCTTTATTGTTTAACAAGTAGAAACAGAAATGATCCACTGAATGTGGTCCTCTTGCTTTCGACAAAAGACCTTAACATTAATTCCGATATATTTGATTCGTTGTGAACAAATGTTTCTTTGGCAGGCACTTAATAAGATTGATGCTTATACGCAGACAAAGGCTGGTCCAAATGAAATTGTTGATATTTTCAAGAAACTTTTTCTGGTAATACTAAAATCAACATCCACACATGTTATGATTGACTTTGAATTAACCGTGATTGGTTTCGGCCTATTGTCTTTGCCACTTTAAACTTATAAAGTTCTAACTTGCAGCCTCAACAGTGAAAATGGGTTTGCAGTGGCACCATTTGAGATGTAAACCGATGCCAATGAAGTGTCATTTGTGTTTATGGGATGCTTCTTCAATCAAATGATGGTTTGTTTGTCTGCTAGAGTTGCAGATCCAGTTGAACTTGAATGTGATGTTAATAATATTACTAACTTGTTTGATGAGACTCTATGATGAAGTTTTATGTACCAGCTTGTGATACTAACTATCATCGTGTGTATAAATAATCTATCATCGCCGTTATGATGAATGTTTGCAATGGTGATAAATGGTGAAAACATCTCTCTGTGTACTAAAATTAGCTAATGTTTGGTAACATGGTTATGAGTTTTGTGCTCCTTATAAAATGTTGTCATATGACTACACAAGTAATGTATTTATAATCACAGGAATGTCTGTCTTCTATGTTAGACTTAGAGGATTGAAAAAAACTGAGATTTTAGTCTTTGTATTCTAGGCCAGTAGCCATTTTAATTCCAGAACATGCTTGAAGTTTACTTTGGTTGTTTCTTGTGCTTCCATTAGTACCAGCTCACATTAAGATCCCTAACACTTGTTAACATCAATGTTTAAAAACTCGAGAGTTTAAGTAGAATCGGTAGATGTTTAAAAAAAACTCGTGGATCGTAGCACAGATAGTAAGATTTTACTCCCGCTGAAAATATATATTTTTATATGTATAATTACATACACATGCTAAAAAATTATAATATATAAAACAAAATAAGTTCACATTCGTACCCTTAAATTCATAAAACAAAATAAGTTCACATTCGTATCCTTAAATTCATAAGTTCGCGATAACAACCATAAATTCATTAAAAAATATATATTAAAAAAAAAAACATAGTTCAAAATGAAAACAATCTAAAAACAACTTGTTTAAGCATTCAAAATGTCATCAACTCTCGTATAAACATAGTTATCTTCATCTTCATTCTCTTATAACTCTTCATTGAAAGGACTAGGAGGAACATCCAAATCATCCCCAACATCACTACTAATGACATTTTCTCCAATATTTAGCATTATATCTTCATGTATAAGATATTTTCAATGATTTTCTAGGTTCCTACTTTTTCCCCAACTTTGAATTACTCATCCCATAAACTCAATCATTCATAGTTTTTTTTCTTTAAATGATTCTTTTTTGTAGTGTTGACCTAAATAAATTAAAATTTAAAACAAGACCCTCAAGGTTATTAAAAGTTGAATATGTAAAATCTTGCTTACACTTTCAAAGACACTTCAATTCCTTTCACAACCAAATGAACTGCAAGTTAAACTCGACACTCGCATTGCAAACCATTGCAATTCAAGATATGTTCCTCCATAAGATTCCCATCATTGTGTTGGCGTTAATCACTACCAAACTTTCCATCTATTTCTTTGAAGGTTTCAAGTTGGTAATCAATCTTAGAATGCTTTTTTGAAACCATCCTATTTAAACATTCATACATCCCTTCTATGTAATATTTCATATTCTCTTATTAATCGGGTGTCAATTGAGATCAAATGAGTTACTATGTACTTTATCTTTATCAGTTACAATAATTAGAATTTCTAAGTGTTGTAAATGTTGTCAGTTGGGATTAATAGAGTAACTACTGAACTCTGAAGAGAGATCAATTATTAATAAAAAAGACAAAAAAATATTAATAAGAATGAAATGAGACATTTTGGTAACATTAATAATTGATCATTTAGTGTTAAATGACAAAATATCAATTGAGATATTTTATACCATTTTATATATATATATATATATATATATATATATATATATATATATATATATATATATATATATATATATATATATATATATATATATATATATATATATATATGGGTGTATAAGAAGAAAAGGAAAAAGAAGAAGTTAGGAAGAAAGATAGAAAGGGAAAGAGGAAAAAAAAGAGAAAGAGAAGAGGAAAGGGAAAGAAAAGAAGAATTCATGGATTTATCATCTCCATCATCAATTCATATTCTTCTTTAACAAGTTGAGTTTCATTAGATATTATAGCCTTGGAGAGGAGGGAAGTATAACTGTTAAAATGGGCTATCGATCCTAAACGGGCCGGTTCTGGTGGGCTCGGCCTTTTTAGGGATGAGTCAAAAAAGCTCAATTCTAATATGGGTTCGAAAGTTACTATCTGAGACCGGCTGTAGATGGATTTCGGACTACCCGATCCTAAACGGATCGGTCCTGGTGGGCTCGGCCTTTTTAGGGATGAGTCAAAAAAGCTCATTTCTAATATGAGTTCAAAAGTTACTACCTGAGTCCGACTGTGGATGGGTTTCTGACTACCCGATCCTAAACGGATCGGTCCTGGTGGGCTCGGCCTTTTTAGGGATGAGCCAAAAAAGCTCATTTCTATTATGGGTTTGAAAATTACTACCCGAGTCCGGTCGTAGATGGGCTTCGGACTTCCCGACCCTAAACGCGTTTTTTTTATAAATAAAAATACCATAATATTTATTATAAATATAATTAAAAATTATATTATTTAAAACATAATACATTTTTAAGTGCTATATTATCTTTTATAAATTCTATAATGTGTTTTTAAATACAATACATATCTAAATTGTATAAAATAAAACTCAATTATTTAACATGAGAAAAATTAATAGAATACGAGAAAAGAGTGTTGATGATATTAGTGTATAATATTTAAAAGAGAAAGATTGAATAGAATTGAGATAAAATTTAGTGAAGTGAGAAAAAGTAATGTGTTATTTTAGAGTAAGACAATATAAGTATTACTATATTTAAATGTATAGCGATGTGGGCCTAATGGGCTACCCATGACCCATATGGGCTAGCCCTAATGGATAATGGGTTTTTTAGGGCTGGGCTAAAAAAAGCCATGCGGGCTCTAATTTTAAGGCCCAAACCCTATGTTTTTTCGGGTCTGGCGGACTGTCCCATGTGGGCTAACCCATTTTGACAGCTATACGGGAAGCATGAGAACATTTGTGGGTTAGGTTTTTTGTGTGGAAATTGGATTGGTGTTGTTTCCATGTTGTAATTGTTAAATTGCATGCTTAATGATGATATAACATGTTTAATTAAGTGTTTGGATGCTATATGATCATGCGGGTTGAGGATTTTTATCCTTGGTTGCCTTCAATTTGCGTTTTGCAGATTCTGAGTTTTGCTTGAGTTGTCGAGCGAGCTTTGGCGAGCCCGTGACGACCTGTTTTCTGCTAGCTTCGTTGGGCAAGGTTTGACAAACAGAAAACGAGCTAACTTGCTACCTGCTTTCCGGTCGACCATGTTTCAATTTCGCCACTGTCTGGGCCTCGCCTGGGGTTCATCGGACGAACCAAAAGTGACCCAGCCTCGTTAGCTACTCACTGGGCGACCATGACAGGGTGCAAATTTTTGTTTCTTATTTTCCTTATAACTTGAGAACCGTAACTTGAATTGAGGTATTGTCGAAAGCGTTGGAAAGCTATTTTAATGCTCCATATGATAGAAAGTGGGAATATGTATATACATTATTGATTGATATTAATGAAATAAAGTGATTGTTGAATAATATGCGAACGAGTGAAGATGAACACCTAGCATTTTGATGAACACCATAAGAATTGGTTTGATATTTGGTGAGGAACCTTTGTTCCAAAAGTCCTATTTGGTGAAGAGCTTGGATCCGAAAGTCTTAATTATTGTGAGAGCATGAATTTACCAAGGATTCTTGGTAGAGAATAGTAATGTGTATGCTTATGAATTATATGTTAATATATGCTTAATTTATTGTTTTATCTTATGATTGTACGGAATGTGAAATAACATGCTTAAAAGTTAAAACATTATGAAGATGAGTAAGAAAACATAGGGTTATAACTAGATAAATAGATTAAAAAGATTACTAGGTTACAAGTATGATTTAGATAGCAATAGAAGGTGACATTCATGCAATATGATACATATGTGAGTATTATGGACGAATGATTATCATAGTTGTGAGTGAGATGTATTGTATGGAACATGTGATGTTAATGTGTGAATAAAGTGAATGTGATCACCATGTGATTATCGAATACGACCACGTTATGTTGTATTTTATCGCGTAGTCGAAAATAACCTCATAATTTTGTCGCCTCAATAGTGACGCTTATATAGAGTTCCATTAGGATGTACGCACTATTACTTTGATAGGTTTTAGTCCCCATAAACGATGGATCCCTAAGTGGGTTAGAGTCCCATACGGATAAAAACTTGAAATGGGTTTGGAGTCCCATACGAAGTGACGATTCTTAAGGTTGTAGAGTCCCTTAGAATCCAAAGTCCACGTGTATGTCAAAGTATGATACAAGGATCTGCGACCCGTGTCGAGAGTCCTAGACGTAGGACCGGATAAGGAAAGATGCCTTGGAATGGTTTCCGAACTAGTGATTGTTTGAGTTGATGAACTCAAGAGACATGTTTCCATACATTGCGAGTTTAGTGAAGTCAAGTCTTATCCCCTTTTCCCCTTGAGTTGAGTTAGAATTTGATTAGATCCTTGTAGAGTCGAGTGAACCTATAGGATATAGGAACTCACTGAGATTATTATTTCACCCTATTATTGTTGTTATTTTCCAAGTGTTGTTTGCAAGTTTAGGATACGAGAAAAGTTGTGCATGGATGTTTCAAAGGAAGCTTATATTATGATTTTTCTCTACTATATTTTGTGTACAACGAAGGATAGTACTTAGATCTTAGATTTTTTGATTATTTTTGTGAATTTTCATATCTTGTACCATAGGTTGTCTTTATTGTTTTAGAAATGGTCAAGTATGTAAATGATGTCAATATGCGCTTATGATTGTGTCAGTATCAGATAATAACACTTGTATGATATTATTTTAGATATATATTATACAGGGCGTTACATTTTATAACTTTGTTATCAATAGTGTACTCAGGAGCATAATGCAAGATGAGGTTAAGAAAATTTCCATCAGCATGCAATGGCCGATGTAGTTGTTTTTTCCATCTTTC